GGAAACCAAATTACTAAAATAAAAGTAAAAAAAAAAAACGGTGATGTACATAATGGTACAATTACTACCATCATAGTTTCTTTTTTAATTTTTTTTTTGAGAATGGCAACACGAATATTGATCCATAATTTTGCTCGAAAGTTTTGGTGAAGTTTTATAATGGTTATTTACATAACACAACCCATCACCGTTACTTGCACTTGAATGTTTTATATTGACCGCAGACCTAACACAACTCATATCCTTTAAATGTGTTTGGGATGAGTTGAAGGGAAATTTAAGATCCTTACTTTTTTTAGATTAATTCATGAAAAAGTTTATATAAGGGTAATGCTCTAAACAATGAACTTAAGGCACACTACAAAAATTCGCTAGAAGATATTGTTTTAATCCCAAGAAATCTTCAAATCGATCATCTCGACATCCAGTTATATGAACATGAGAAAAAATGGATTTCAATATTAAAAATAGTGTATCTTGTAATATTTTTTCTAGACTGTCAATTTTCAAAATTTTCAAGTGTTTATAAATCTGCTTGATCTACACTATTTTTGAAGCTTTAAATTTTATAACGAAAAATAAAAACAAGTTTTTAGACGATCACAGATTTTGAGTACTAAAATATCTTTTGATACTATTTGAAGGTGGGCCCTATTTAATTGTTTAGGGCCTCAACCTTATACAAACCACACCCTTCAAAATAAGAACCACACCAAATTTGAATTGAAGAAACATGCAATAATAACCTTTTTAGTTCTTATTAAGCTAATGCAACTCAATAATACAAAATAAAACAATAAAATAAAATAAAGAACTCTTCTTTATTCGTTTTGGGAAAATGACTTTTTTTCTTCTCGGTTTAAAAGACCAAAGAATCTTATCCTCATTTTTCATGTTTAGCGGGCAGTCAGTCACCATAAAGAAATTGAGGCATCTCTGTAATAAATGGTATAAAGCCTTGCAAGAGAATCTTATTTTCCGTTTTCTAGGTTTTGTCTGTCTTAAAGTCAGAGAGAGATGTTAGACTCCTTTGCATCGTAGGACTCGAAATTTACTACAGTGCTAAAACACTAGAGTGGGGAAGTTGTCATATCATGGAATTCTAGAGAGAGAGAAAGGGCGTTAGAAGTAGGGCTTATAATTTATCCATTATGGATCTGACACCCCAATTTTAGATTTTATCCGGATCGGACCCAAATCTAAAATTTGGATAATCTGCATCAGATCCAGATACAAGTGGGGACTAGTTCCTGATATTTGTGTAGAAACGGACCAACACCTTTGCTTCTCGATCCAAATGGGCCAATTCCGTTCCCAATATATGACGAGCACATATACTATGCTCCCTCATGAGCATAATTTACATCGACCCCCTTGGTTAGAAGACCTATTTGGGAGGATTTTTTCAATATAAAAGTTTGGGAACCATTTAAGAATTAATATAATTATTCTAAAAAAAAATGAAATCTTGAGTTTTCTTGCTTTTATATTTCACCATCTAAAAACTAGATGATCTCTAAACTATTTCTCTCCCTTGAGAAAATCTTCTGGCATCAGAAATCGAGGGAACTTTGGTTCAAAGAACATGATTCTAATACTATGTTTTTTCATATGTGTACTTTGGTGAGGCGTCAAAGTGATAAGACTTTATTTCTAACGATGCATCGGGGAATGCTATTTTTTGTCATCCCAAGGTAGAATCCCATATATTGTCCTTTTTTCAAGGACTCCTTGCACCGGTAGATCAAGTTCCACCACATGATGTACCATTGCCTTCTGATTTAATACCAGAGGGGTTACTCTCCAATCATCAAAGAGAAGATTTATCTAGAGAGATCTCGATATAAGAAATTAGGGAATGTATATGGAGTATGAAGAGCGAAACTGTACCTGATCCAGATGGTTTTGGGGTTGAGTTCTATAAATTTAGTTGGAATATTATTTGCCAGGATCTCTTTGCAGCACTCAGGGATTTCTTTAACAAAGGTATGTTCTTAAGGGAGGTTAACTCTACTTTTATTTGTTTAATTCCAAAGAGCAAGTGACCTCGTACCATGAAGGACTTTAAGCCCATTGGTTTATGCAATGTTATTCACAAATCATGAGCAAGATTGAAGCTAGCAGACTACGTATAATCTTGGATGCTCTTATTATGCCCTATCAAGCGACATTTCTGAAGGGTAGACTCATCTCTGATAATGTACTGATGGCTAATGAAATTATTTCAATGTGCCACAAACCAGCTAACAGACCTGAAATGTGCCTCCAATTAGATATAAGTAGTGCCTATGATAGGGTGTTTTGGGACTTTGTGTTGACGTGGTTGCCAGCTTCGGGGTTTCCTGATAAGTTTATAACTTGGGTGAAGCATTGTGTTAGTACGCCTAGCTTTTCCATATTGGTTAATGGCTCGCCTAAAGGTTACTTTAGAAGCAACCAAGGCTTGTGACTCTAAGCAGGCCTTAATTATTATGGATTTACTTAGTAGGCGGCTGGAGGCGGCCTTTAAAAATGGCTCCCTACCGTCAGCTTTTCCCTCTGACTCGAATTATGGGGTTTCCCAACTCCTATACGCATATGATGTCCTAATTTTCTGCGAGGCATCCCCTAAGGTTGCAATTGCGGTAAGTAACATATTGGCTTCTTTCTTTAGGGCCACGAGGTAAAAACTCAACGTTATGGAAAGCAAAATTCTATTCAATCCAGTGGCACCCAATGCATCCTAAAACTTTGATTTTGGTATCATGGTCCCCACACCCAGCAAGTCTCTATAAACTAAACATTGATGGCTCATCCCTTGCCAAACCTGGAGCAACTGATTTTGGAGGAATTATCAAAAACGATTTAGGAGGATTTTGTGCTGCTTTTGTTGTTCCTTTAGTGTACACATCCAACAATGGTGCTGAATTTCCAGCCCTTAAAAGGGGCATTCAGCTAGCTATTGAACTGCATTGTTTTCCATTGCTAATTGAGAGTGATTCGCAAATTCTAGTGCATTCCCTTCACGACCGCCATAAGCCATATTGGAATCTTCGTATTATGATTATGACAGCAAAGTACCTTTACCACTTGGACGGTCACTCCTGGAGTATTAAGCATGTCTAGCAAGAGGCCAACTCGGTGGCCGATCACTTGGCCAAGAATGCTACAAGTCTCTCTGAGGCCACTGTTTGGCCTGCCCGACCACCTAATTTTATTTCTCCTCTAATTTTTTCTGATATAATCAAGACTTCTCCAGAAACAACTGTATCATAAACTCTTTATCCTTTTGTGTCATTCGTATTTATTAATAAAAAACGGGTAGGAGCCCAAATCCCCACGATTGGACAAATTTACACTTGTGGATACTTAATAAACCTCACAAAGAATTGAGATCTAACGGTCAGAGAAAGAAATTGAAATTGGCAAGAACTACACAAGAGTTTCAACTGTTTATAAAGCTTTAGTAGATGAGTAAGAGTGATTCCACGATGGGAAGTTTCATAGGTAGGAGTGATTCCACGATGGGAAGTTCTCATCCAGGTAGAAAAATTTGCTACTCCCTCGGGGGCAAACTCTGTTTATTTGCTTCCTCCGGCAAACCCGAGCGAGGTCAACTTTTAGAGATGTAACTTCTTGTTGCAAGCAACTGAAAAATTAATGTCCCAAGATTGAATAAAGACTGTTCCTCGGGAGTGTTGAAGAACTGAAAATCCAAATTTTTTTCCTTTTTCTGAAAATAATCATCCAGTGACACTTCTGTGAATACTGTAATTTGATAAATCCTCCCAAGTAACTCATTTGCCCGAGGAAAATGATGTACATTATGCTTCAGCTAGAGCATACAACACACGCTGTACTAAATTTCTAGCCAAAAAGGGAGGACATATAGTTCTTCCCAAAGAAAAAGAGAAGAAAGAAACAGAAAAAAAACATATCATAGTACCCCTTTTTTGCAGTGCCCAAGCCCGTGATCTCTCTCGCATACACACATGGTGAAATCCACCAAAATAGGCTAAATTTATAACAAATTAAGAGGACTGCTTTTTGTTTTCCTTCGCTAGCAATGGGCTAGGCGGACAGGCCCTAAAAAAGTAGTGCATGGGCCACAAATTGTGGCCCAAGGGCCAGGCCAGGTCTAGTGACAACCTAGTTTGGCCCAGCCTGGCCCTCTTTTTTTCTTGCTTTTTCTTTATTTTTGCTTCATTTGTTTCTGGCCCGACCTAGCCCGAATGGCCCATGGTCAGCCTCATGGGGAGAAAGATCAAGCAAGAGCCAAGCCCGGCCCCTTGCACCCTTAGTTTCCTAGTGCCTAAAGCAACAAAATCTCTTACTCTCTGATGTTGAGTTTTCATGTACCTAATTATGCTATATTCCTAACACTACAGTTCCAAACAAAAGAGAGGACTATTGTGACTTTTCGTGTTGCTTGCCTAAAGCAGCTCTCTCTCTCTCTCATTGATGGTGAGAATTCATGTATTTTTTTTTTTTTTAACAGCAGTACTCAAGTACCTATTCAGGCTAACTTTCTAACAAAAATAAGGCGACAAAAACAGATCCAAACAAACGTAGCAAAAAATAATACAATTACAAACAAACAAAAAAGAGGACAATATTGTGCCTTTTGCTTTCGGTGCCTAACGCAATAATCTCTCTCTCTCTCTCTCTCTCTCTCTCTCGGTGCCTAAAGCAATAATCTCTCTTAGGGTTGACAATGGGTCCGGACCCTACGGCTAGGCCCACAACAATTGGACCCAACAGGTCGAATCCGGGTCCAAATTTTGGACCGTACACTAATCGGGTCCAGGTCTCACATTTCCCAATTTATGAAAATACATTATAATATATTTGAATACATAGATATTTTAATTTTTGGGACAGATCCGGTCGGGTCTGGGTCCAACCCAACCTGATCCGTTGCCACCCCTGATATCTTTCTCTCTCTAACAAAGAGCTGTGAAACCTCTCGCAATTGGAGAAGAACAACTCTTTTACCTGTCTTAGCACAATGAACAAGCCTCTAGTTATTATTCAATAAATTGCACTGGAAAGTTCGGTGAAATTCTCGCTAAATGGAAAATACAAGCCCCAAGTTTTTATATATAATAAAATGCACAGTAAAGTTTGGTAAGAATTCCCTCTACTTGGAAAATACTAGCCCCTTCACCCACCACCTTTTCTGCTCGCCTTATCTCTCTCTCTCTCTCTCTCTCTCTCTCTCTCTCTCATCAACACCATTTAATAAGTTTTCCAACCTGCAAGTCCTCTCTCCCAGCAAAACTTTGTCAGTGCTCCATTTTCCTTGGCTGATGAATAACGGCAAATGTGTGGAGATTGATACATTTAGTAAACATATGGAAATATACGCCACGGAACAACCTTACAGTAATTGACCCAGTCCTCTTTATACTTCTCTTGGCACCTCGCTTCATCTCTTCTCTCTCTCCATATCAGCAGAATGAAAAGGTAGATTGGATAGAAGTATGGAACGACAGATCTGCATAGAGAACAAATAATTTCAGCATTGTATGCTGCTATGTTTTATCATATGTTACCTCGAGACAAACAGGTGTCCAAGGGTCTAGTACTTTGGTTCAACAAAGCCAATACACCACGACAAGTCCTTACAACAGTATGATTACATCTTTATCATAAAATAATAGACTTTCAATTAATATATAATAGAAAGTTCATATTTATTACACTTAAATGTGATTACATCTTTATCATAAAATAATAGACTTTCAATTAATATATAATAGAAAGTTCATATTTTTACACTTAAATGTTGTAGACAAAGCGATCATGGGGTATGGCACGGAACATCTTGGTTTCAAACCCCAGATTTGTGCTCTTGAATATTTTCTTGATATCCCCGTGTCTAGAAGTATAGACCCATGATACATCAACAAAAATGAAGTGTCTAAGTAACACAGGTTTTATGTGCATCAATGTTAAGTATGCATATATGTATGGAATCCCCCGTGTGGAAGTGTCAACACAGCGTGGACATGTGATACTTCACAAGAATGAAGTGCCTAGGTAACATAGATTTCGAGTACATATCCACAAGTATGCATGTACGTACATATGTTTGTAAGGATGCATGCATGCACTAACGTATGCATGTATGTGTCTATAAAGCATCATAAAGGTAAAGACTACTTACCTAGTGCCACATGGTAAACTAAAAGCAAAAGCAAGCAATATATCTCCAAGGTAATTACAATGGCGAGCGATGCCCCTGCAATAATGGAATACCATACAATAATGAATCTCAATGCATATTGTAAGCAGAAAATTTGAAAGGCTTTTTACATTTAAGCTGAAGACAGTTTTTACCCTATTTTAACAAAAGAGAGTCCATTTTTGTGGGCTACAGTAATATGAGAAACATGCAAAAAATTGAATAAATTATATAAAAAACAATGAAATGATTCCCTAACCACATGAACCCACTTGAAATAAGAGCTGTCCGATGAAATTGTACCCACAGAAAATTTAAATTTATAAAATCCCATGGGTAGAATAACAGGAAATAATAGAAAAGTGCAGGTACACTGCCACTGGTCATGGTAATAGCCCTTGAAAAGATGTGAACTCCAAAAGCATGAAGGTGGAGTTGGTATCATACCAGTAACCTGAAGCAAGCAATTTTCCACCTATAACCTTAGGAGGTTTTCCCCAAATGGGAGCCTTTGGATCCTTCTTAAAAATGTGCTTCTGTTTGTTTGCACCTCTAAACACTCGATAGCTGCAAAATGGATGAAGTAGACCGGACTTCAGAAAAGACTGAATTGTGTGAACCTACAGCCTCTCTCTCTCGAACACACATACACGTGTGCATACATGTGTACATGTGGACATGTATATTGCAAATATACGACATAGAAAGGAAGGTTTACCCAATCAAAAAAATGACGCAATTCAAAATGACAGCTGCTGTAGGCAATGTTACTTCATTTCTCAAAAGCCACCAACCCTGGACCACATGACAACTCATCAATGAGAACTTCAATTATGTCATGGACAAGACTAAGGGAGCATTGCAGTTTAAGAAAATTTAACTGCACGTTATGTACTAACACTGGCATGAAGTTGGCGTAGGTAAAGTCGGTAATATTTTCCCTAATATGATAGGGTATGGTTTACGTGCGTCTCGAGACGCACCTGTTACAGCAAGTCAAGACGGATTTTGGATCCAAAATTTTGAAACTCTAGCATCTAGACCACAGTGACAATAAATCTGGAAAATATGCATTTTGAGCCCTAAAAATGGTTTATTTGTACTTTTTTCCAGACCGCCCGTTTTAATTCCTCAAAGATCACCAGGATCCTGGAGCTCCAAATTCATGGAACTGAGGCGAAAATGGATTTACGGTGACATTTGATGTGTTTTGGTCCTAAATCCCTCAATAACCAGTATGGATGCATGAGTTGGCAGACTCTCCAAATATTTTTCCATATGATATTCAACTATTCTTTCGGTCCATAAAATACTTGAAGCTATTTAAATGATTTTGATTTAAAATCGCATAATCAAAAACAACAGAACAGCACATAACAGCAATGAGATGAAATTCCATATCACACTGATGGAATTAGAATATTCCGTGTACCATAGCTACTAAAGCGGGTACTATAGCCTTATTCCATGGCCAAAAAATGCATGGAAGATGATGGTATCCAACTAAAGTTGAAAGTTGCTTACCTGAATGCTGAAAGTGAAGGGAATCCAAACTAAATCTCCAAACACCAACATGAAGCCCAACCTTTCTGCAATAATGTCCCATCTAAAATAGAATAGATAACCAAATGACAAGATTGTCAAGATTTTCACTGCATTACAATAGAGATGAAAATGTCCAGATCAGTTCATAAGTGAACAGATAGAAGAAAACATGAGCATTTGAAAAGAATATATACCGGTGAGTGAACATCATAATCTGGAATTGGAGGGGCACTATTCCCATTCACCCAGTCTGGCTTGGGTGATTCTCGAGACAGAACAGGCTACAATTAATAAAAAGAGAAAAACCCGGAGCCGGAATAGTCCACCCCTAGATCGTAATCCAACTCAAGAAATTCCAAGTCGGATCATCAATTTTTAAATTAAAGTATGTGCTGAACAAGACTGGCTAGTCTGTCAATATGAAGTGTTGTAAGAGTAAAAGTTCTAGTTGGTGGAATTAAATATCCAAAAATACCAGAGAACATCTTGAAGTCTATCCTCATAATAAAAAGATCAGAGAAGGCAAATCATTGGAAGTCTGGTTAATAATTACCCAGACAAGGCAAAGCAATACTTAGAAGGGCAGACACCTGGATGCAACCCAGTTGATAAATTGGATCCACATAGAGTGAAATAACCTATTGGATGATTTTAAAAAATTTAACAAAATATGGTGAAGTTTTTAAAAGACTAAAAATATATGAACACCTACTTGAGTGCCATGGTACATGTTGTTCGTAAATGACATAGTTTTGATTGATGAGATCCGAAACGGCGTCAACACAAAGTTAGAACTTTTGAGGGATGCTCTAGAATCTAAAGGTTTTAAAATTATCCGGACTAAGACAGAGTATATGGAATGCAAATTCAGTAATAATAGGAGTGGAGATGAGGAAGTAGTTAATATTCAGGCTAGAAAGTACCAAAAAGACCGCACTTTCAATATCTTGGATCGATAATCTAGAAAAATGGAGTGCTTGTGGAAGATGTCACAGACATAATTAGAGCTGAGTGGGCGAAGTGGAGATGTGCAACTGGAATTTTGTGTGATCGCCGCATACCAATGAAGCTGAAAGACAAAATCTATTGGACAACTGTGAGATCAGCTTTGCTCTATGGGGCGGAATGTTCGGCAGACAAAAAATAATATACCCCAAGAATGAGAGCAGCGGAGATGAGGATGTTGAGATGGATGAATGGCAAGACAAGAAGGGATATCATACGAAATGAATCCATTCAGGAAAATTTAAGAGTGATACCAATAGGTGATAAAATGAGAAAGTAGACTTAGGTGCACTGGCTATGTGTGGCGCAGACCCAATACATCACCTGTTAGGAAGTGTGAGTTAGTTCAAGTGGAATGATTGAAAAGGGCAAGGAGTAGGCCCAAAAGGATGTGGTTGAAAGTAGTTCGAAAAGATATGAGGGCTTATGGCCTCACTGAGGGTATGGCCTTTAATAGAGTAGAATGGTGAACCAAGATTCGTGTAGCCGACCCCAATTAACTGAGAAAGGCTATGATGATGATGATGATGATAACACCTACACATATGAACAACTACAGCTATCCATCACATTCTTTCTACAGTTGTTAAGCATAGTGTTAACATACAACCTCCAATCTGAGATGAACAGCTCGATAAGAAACCACATTGTGGCACAATCCGTTAAACCCATAATTTTTGTTAACCATCTGAGGCAGCAAAATCCATCTACTAGCTATTCATAAATGACATTTGCTCACTGAAACTTGAGCCCAAGTAATACCTTACAGTCACAACCAATGCTTAAATAAAACAGATCAGTGATCCAAATTGCCTATCTGGAAAACCGGCCCAGATTGGCAGTAAGGGGTCGGTGAATCAACCCGATCCAGCCATAAAAAATTTCAAAAAACAACTAAAATTTCTTAAAAATCTAGTTGATTAGGTTTCCAAAAACAAAAGAAATGGTATTGCACTATGGTTTTTCATTATTTTTATGAAAATATATAAATACTAAGACCCTATCTCATTCTAAGTGTTTGTTGTCCATTACAATCATTTTACAATCAAAGTTTGAAATGCGACTAATTTCTAAAAAGTGGATCTCGCTAACTCAATTTTTTTTTATAATCTCCAAAGACATGAAATGGTTTTATTTTACAGGGGTTTATATATAATTATAAAAGATATGCAATGCACAAACCAATTTGTTGCATCGTGCCTTCTCACAAAAGAAAAAATTTCTCTTATAAAACTCAAAGAAAGATCTAGATAAATTGTCCTCAAAGGCATGATTCAGAATTGATCCTAAGGATGATTTGGTGCATTTTTTGAGCTCATGTATGGGTTTGTTTTTAAATTATTCGTGGGAGACTATAGATGCTCCAAAAATTTGAGATAAAAATTGAATTTCATAGACAGATCAAACCATGACCTAGAGTTCTAGTGCTTTTAGATATAGCAACATTTTACCTTGTTTTGTTTGGATAGTACATTTTCTTTGATAGAAAGACTTATTACTACATATTTCTCTAGACACTTCAAGAACAATCCTGGACAAAGATGAGACAAAATTTTGTGCAGAAATTTTCATTAATAATCGTCTTTTCTTTTTCATTGACAGACCATGGTACCTTATAACTACACAATTTATTGATGATTTAACTGACCAAGTCAACAGCAAGTTCATCCTAATGAGCCAGATTGATGATGCTGTAAGAAGGATACTGAGAGTAAAATTAAGGGAAAATTCCGTATAGAACCCTAATTCCCCGTATTATTTCATGGTAGACCCTCCTTCCGTTTTTCTTTCAAGCAGCATAAGAAAACCCCTAAAGATTTCACCATAACCCCTCATCTCTTACCTCCCTCTTTTATTGACTTTTCATCATAAAAATTAGCCCCAATAAATCTTTTTATATCATTTCAACACAAAAACTTTTTTAATGGGTGGAAAGGGAAAAAGAGGGTTAAAAAGATTTTTGAGATAAAAAGGTATAAAAAGATTTGTTGGGGCTAGTTTTTATGGTCAAAAGTCAATAAAAGATGGAGATAAGAGATGACAGGTATGGTGAAATCCTTAGGGATTTCTTTTTGCTACTTGAAAGAAAAATAGAAAGAGAATCTACCATGAAATAATATGAAGAATTAGGGTTCTATATGAAATTTTCTTTAAAATTAATGGATCTCTTCGAACTTTATAAAAGGAATAAAAAACGTAGCAAAACCTCCCTTTTTAATCAAAAAAAAGATCCCACATTGGGCATGTGGGACGGATGTGGGAAGGCAAACCCTCATAAAAGGGGATATAGAGGCACAAAATATATTCAATGGTGGTCGCCCATTTGACGAGATGTTTGGTCACTCCTCTTTTAAAGGATGGGCCCACTATGAAATGAAGTATAAAATTTAGAAAAGAAGATAAAACGTAACAAAAAATTGTTTAAAGGAGGTGGGCCCTCATCTATATAATAAAATATACAAAAATATACAGAAAAAAGAAAATAAAAAAGTACTGCAAAAGCAAATGTGGGAAACCAGGGAATCTGGGCTGGTTCCTTGACTGAAGCGCCAATTCTTTGACAGAACTGGCCGGATCCCGATATTTATTGGGAACCGAACAGGCCCCACCAATTAGGGATCTAGATCGGGCGATTCTGACCCAAATCGCCATTTTTTAAAACCTTGGTCATAACTAATAAATTTTACTTTAAAAAAAAATGTTCATTTTGCCAATTTAGTTTCCCATAAGCTTATTGAATGATCCAGTGATCTACTACCATTACCATATCCCATTAATGAATTTTCCATATAAAATGAATAGAAAATAAAGTCATAACACATTATTAAACAAGACACAGTTGCATGTTTGAAGGGTGAATATTGATCAGGGTTCATAAGATTGACATGGCTAGAATGGAACTTAAAAAGACAATGGATGTTCCTCATTCTGACAATTCAGATTGTGAAGGCAAGGAAAAGTTAACAAATGAGAGAAACTTGAGGATAGAAAAGCACGAGAAAGGGTTTAGAAAATCAACATAAATGAAACCAGTAAGAAAATTACTACTTACGTTGATGTCATGCACTCCTCATACCAGAAGTAGTCCAGAACGTACAACTAGAAAGACAAGTATTTAGATAGCATCAGTCAGTAATCTATCAGATGAAAAATATACATAAAAATAGAAAAGATAGTGACAACTCAGTATATATAACAAGGATAAAAAATGTGAACATTTGAAAATTTACCATGCAATATGTTTGGTAAAGGATCATTGAGATGCCTAAACTGTTATCTTTAATACTTTTCGCAAGAACAGAGAGATTGATAAGAAGCCAAGCCATCATTCCAGCTCTAACAAAGAAAAATCTGCAAAAGAAATGAGACTGCTTAATACAAAGGAGGCCTACCACAGTAACACACTTCACTATAAATTGCGATGCAATCGGCAAGCTGAGATGGCTTTTTTAATCAATATTACAGAATAAATAACCCTCAAATGAGATTTAAGTACAGCAGCATTTTGTGAACATGGAATGGCTATCTGACTACAAAAATAGTTCTTCTACTTTTTGTCTTTGGTTGCTAGTGGAAAATGTTCTGTTTAAAAATGGATATACACGTAGGTAACAAATAAGTGGCTAAGCAGTTTGGAGAGATGATTTCGAGCCAAGGACTGGGACACTGACCTAGAACTGTCTAGGATTCCTAGATAATGGTATCCAACCCGGACAAGAATAACAAATCCAAGTGAAAGGATATTTTTAAAAAGTAACTATGACCTCGGGAGAGAATTTAAATGAAAACCATAATCAATATAAAAGGAAAGACCAATTACCAAACTTATAAACTGCTTTACATACTTGAGGTCAACTCCCATAATTTCTGGATTCAATTGGATACCAAGCCACCTATAGAACGAATCAGTGAACACAAAATCAAAATAAATTTTCTCTTTTAACAAAAAGTAACTAATAAGTAAAACTCAAGCAACAAAAGGACTGTTTCCATGTATGTAACTCAGAAACAGCGACCATCATCTTAAAATAACAGAATTTGAACAGAATATATATGGATCAGAGGCTAAGTTACGCCACCAAACTATGCCGCCCATTGGAACAACCATATGCATATATAGAAATACAACTGAGAAAATCAGAGGACCAAGAAAGCCTTGACTTAGATAAAGCAGAATCCATATGGGATGAATTGGACTGCCAAGTATTAATTTTCTTCACAAGTATCGACTATCTTATACAAGGATCACTATTTTAAATAAGTTATAAGGGCAAGCATAGTTTCTGTAAAATTTGCTATATAAGGATAAGTAGATTCAGAAATACCACTAAATAACTACATCAACTGTCTAAAGTAACAATGGAGCCGTCTAGCTGCCAGGGTATCTCAAAAACAAGGAGGGGCTGCAGTACAGTTTGAAACCTCCATTTGAGAAACCTCCAATGAAAGGTTTTGAGACAACGGACTCAAAAGAAAAAGGGGTCGGAATACTAGAGAATAGAAGTCCAAGATGTAAATTTACAAATATCAAGACAAGAGCAGCAGTCACTGTTTTGAACTGCATAGCCTAAAAATGCACATCTACAAACATTAGATGTCAGCTGAGATCTCTCATGACTCAGCAAGCAATGAAGACACCCATTAGAAAACCTGAGATGTTTGTCATTATTTTCGTCCTTACTGGCCATTCCATAAGAGAGATATTACACAAAACTACAAGAATTCTATTAATTGTATGAACAACAGCAAGAAAAGATTCAGCCCAAATTTAAGAAAGTGCATGAGAGCGAAGAATGATACATGTGATTTCTATTATGACTAATTTTATGTTGAGCAATTCCAATAAGTTGAGTATAAGGCCATGTTCTTCGGGTGATAATGGATATTTGCAGATCTTCAGACTCATTATACAAATGAAAATTGGACAAGGTGATCTAGCACGGTGTATGTAATTTTAAATTTTTCTTTTTCTCACCAACTAGAACACTTACAATTGTCCAAGTACAATAAAACTCACTTGAAATAAACAAATAAATAAAAGTAGTTTTCTCTTGCTACCACTAATTACAACTCCTTTTATTGAATAAAATACTATGGGAATAAGAAAGGCACATGAAAGAAAATACTGCAAAGCATAAAGTAAAAGATGCCGAAAATTACCTCAACCTGGCTTAGTACACCCCCACAACGGGTCTCCTCCTCCAATGGCACATGGGATCAATGGTCAATCTCGGATATGTCAAGTATGGGAAAGCTCAAAGCTACACCCCTTAATATGAGAGCATGGAACTATTAGAACCTAAGACCCCCAAGCTTTACCTGACTTGAGTGGGGCATGCCATTCCTTATAACCTAGGTGGGGCATGCCACCTTCCTCTACCCTTGAGAGATGAGAGAGAAACCTTGAAAGAGGGAGAGAAGAATTTTCCTAAGAGTGGCATGCCACCCAATAGTAGAGAGAGAGTAGAGAGAGAAGAGAAAAGTATAGAGATTATTGGGGAGAGATCTGAGTCATCCAATCCTTAGATCAGCAATCATGATTCAAAAGAAGGAGCTAGAACCTTATCCTCCAGCTTCCTAAACCTAATCCCATCAATATTGAATATAGAAAATAATGTCATACTTTCTTATCTTATGAATAAAATCTCTAATTTATTCTATCTTTGAATAATCAAAACTTCTCAAAATACAAAACATTCCAAAAGAATTCAATCCTGATTCACAAGCTAAGATGGCTTGCCAACTTAATAGAAAAAGGGGGTTTCCCTTTGAGTGGGGCATGCCACCCTAGGTGGCCACATGTGGGCCCCACTCAACTCCCTCATGTGCTTAATTAAGGTGGCCCCCACATCTCATGGTGGGCCCCCATACTTTAGTGAAATAATAAATTTTTAGTGAATTAATAAATTATTAAATTGATTTTTAAAATATTAGAAATAAGTTTTAGTTTTTTTTATTATTTAAATATTAAAAAATGAATATATCTTATTTTATAAATCCATTCTGTAAAAATAAAAGATCCAAATAAAAATTCAAATAATCAATCTAAAAATCATATAATATTAAAATAATTAAAATCAAATAATTTTAATGGGAATTGGATCTGACAAGATCTAGGAATTATAATATCGCTTGAGCACTCCACCTTCTACTGTAGATTATAATCCGCACTGGCTTTCTCAAATTGACCCAGCGGTTCCTATGACCCACAAACGGTTCATGATTGGGCCACCAAAGTCAGCCACTAGGCAAAAAGGACACAATCCCAGTCTATAGACTACAGGTTCTCCCCTAGAGACGAATCTAAGGTCACACAGACTATGGTGCAACCACAGCTCTGTGGTGCATAGGGGTAATCTCTCGCACATGTACACGCTTCATCCCAAAATGTGGTTCGCTTTCCCGATACGGCTACATATGTATATGTCATGTGATGGTTTAGTGATAAGGTTTTGTCCCTCGTCTCTAAAGACCAACCATCACATACAAGAGTCACATAGTCCCTTGGCTCACTCATCTGGGCAACTCCGACCTCATCACGGGATGACCTATAAAATCTTTATTAGTTTGTTTTCATGCCCAGGAATAAGGGGTTTTCCAACTCGACTGGCCTAGCACATAAAGCCAAGTATGAGTATCGAAACTAGTATTTGCCTATCATGGTTCATAAAGGACCACATTCCCACTGAATTTATGTTCCACTATATCAGATATTGATTACATGCTCTCATAAGGTCTTTAATGGCCACACAAACCGAATATTCTCCTAAGGCCAGAGGTTTGAGAGAATATTCTTAATGGTCAATTTCAGCCATTGGCACACATTTCTATACAATTATCACACATATTTCTAGTTGTCTCTAATTTGGCCTTTATAATTGATATGAATTGGTAGTTTTTGCTTTTGTGAGATTGCCAATACATGATCATGTGATGGTAACATCTAAAATCTCAGAAGTTAAAGACAACAAAAAAAAATGTGGATTTAAATTATTGAAGACAGATAGATTCATGTAGGTCTTGGAGAAGACAGGTATGCATGTTAGAAGGGAAACTGTAGTAGAGCTCTTAAGAAAATCCATTATCTTCCTCTCTATTACAAAACATATAGATATAGAAAATGGAAAAAAAAAGATAAGCCAACAAGTACACCATGGCCTAAATTCTAGATACCCCAAAACCCAAACAGCTGCCTTGTGCACAAACCTACTTCTCCCTCACAGCCAACCTCCCCAAGAAAGAAAAACAAATATTGACACTTGCAATTTACTGAGTAGACTATTGCCATAGAATTTAGCGGCCAATATAAGATTAATTAATCTACCTCAAAATATAGAATTCATCAAATGCTTCAGTGGGTCACTAAATGTGAGTGTACCCATTAAGGGCAAGAAAAAGATTACAATTGTTACATCCAATAACAATACCAACTACTTATGCTTTCACTATCGTGAAGTAAAGAAGACAAGCAAATATAGGAGTATTACATTGGCGAATGATCCAAATATTTATGGAATTACTAAAAAAGAAAAGAAGCATGAGCACAGTACCAGTCATGAATTAAATTTCCTGTTGTGTGTGGCTTCAAAGAGGAACCCTTCTCATGAGACATGCATCCAGCAGCATACAAAACTATTGAAAACTGTTAATACACAGACCAAAAGAGAGAAACAGCAAAGAGAAACATGAGTTCCAAATTAATCACACATAATCCCATGACTGGAAAATGAGTTACCAAACATAAAATGTCTTGCATGCTTAATGAAAAAATCGGACTTTATGCCATCATAACTTGATCATGTACTCAAAAGAATAATTCATTTATCTTATTATCCAATGAAGAGACTCTCCATGTATGGACAATTAAAAAGTACGAACTGTCCAAGTTCATCTATTTGTGTTCCCTAACTACCATGTAGGGGAGGTAGCAAAGATTCGCCATATAGCTAATCTAGAATCTAATATTTTTAAAATTAATTGGACAAAGATAGAGTACATAGAATGCAAGTTTAGTAATAATAGGAATAGAGACAAAGAAGTAGTTACGATTGATGGCAAAAAATTCCCAAAAAAAACACACTTTCGATATCTTGGATCAATAATCCAGGAAAATGGAGAGATTAAGGAAAGATGTAGCACATAGAATTAAAGCTAAGTGGACGAAGTAGAGATGTGCAACCAGAGTTTTATGTGATCATCATATACCAATGAAGCTGAAGGAAAAGTTCTACAGGACAGCTATGAGAATGAGGTAAAATGTTGGGCGGTCAAAAACAACATACACATAGAATAAGTGTAGCTGAAATGAGAATCTTGAGATGGATGAATGGCAAGACAAGAAAGGATAAAACTCAAAATGAATACATTTGAGAGAATTTACGTGTGGGACTAACGGGGGATAAGATGAGAGAAGGTAGACTTAGATGGGTTGGCCACGTGTGGTGCAGACTCAATACAACACCTGTTAGGAGGTGCAAGTTAGTTCAAGTGAAAGGCTCAAAACAAGAAAAGGGTAGGCCCAAAGGTACATGGTTGGAAGTAGTAAGAAAAAATATTGGCAGTTATGGTCTCACTGAGGGTATAACTCTTAATAGACTCGAACGACGGACCAAAGGCTTTGTTGATGACGATGATGAGGGATTCTATGTTGCACTACATGAACGTGATATATGTTTCCGACCTCTGTTAAGGTGCTGATAATGAATTGTAGAAACAGGCCAGTATAGGCACTTTTTCAATGAAATACCACCTAAGTGCTGAACAGGGGATGAAGGGAATTCTGCCAACTCCCAAGTGCCTTTCCGAGGTGTACAAATCCTTCCCAAGCTTGGTGCTTCGGTTGGCTAACTAGGTTACATGAGATTCCCATTATGAGAAACCAGTGATCCCTAGTTAATGTGTCAGAAGAAAGAATACCTATAGACCGCCTTTTCCAACACTGCCAACTTAGAAAGGATTTTGAGATTCTTCCTAAACTTGTCCCCAAGGTTTCTGAGGTCATGCACTAATTGGTGGACTCAGGGATTACTAGTCTCAGGTGATGGGTGTCAACCTCCTCTAGAAGATGTGCCATGAGCTATCTTTGGGGCAGGATATTCAAAGGCACTTATATAGAACAGGAGAACACTAATATTACAGGTTCTATGATCTTGCCAGCACCTAGCCTCAAAAGGATCTTTGCATCCAGAGTAGAGGACCAGACCTGAAAATAGATGCAAATAGCTCAAAGGGCAAAAGACAATCCTAGGTCCTTATGGTGTCAAATGGTCATGTAAAATTCAATTTCAAAGGCACCAAAGGAAGCCCAGGTTCTTCTGGAGTAAGCAGTTTAACTAGAGACAACATCAGAAGGTCTCTTACAACCTTCACAGGGATGATGGATATGGTGATTCTTCGGAGGAAAAATTGAGAGATTCAGTGACAACCCATAAAGTTCCAAACCTCTAGACTATGAAAGGCAATTAACTCAATGTCCGGGTACACAGACTAGGGTACCCTGTCAATAAGCTGATCTCATGGAGGAGATATTCAGGAAAGGCCAGAGGATGCTTGTCTATTTCTCCTGTACACATAAGAAACAAGCTACATGTCAGATCCCCTCCCTTGGAGGAAGTTAAGAGGGATTCATGATATGGGACTCAGTTGCTCCGTAACTTCTTATCACTTTAGTTGATTCTATTTGGATTAATTTTTCATCATTCTTTTTCTCTATTATTATTTCTTTCATTTCCAGGTATATCCTAGGTTGTATACTTTATGCAACTTAACAAAACTATCCTACTTACAGATTACTCATAAAAGAGAGAACGTGTTAATTGTTTAATTAGGCAACAATATTACAAAAGTAATTTTTTTTTTTTTGGGGGGAATAGGTTTTACACCCAATTTTTTGGCAGCTGCACGCATTCATGCAGTCCAGCCCATGACATACAACTCCTCAATTAGATGACCATCTGAATTCTACAGATGGGTAACTGGTTTCTGAAAATGTTTGTTGAAAGCCTAGACACCTATTGTTTGTTATACTTTAAAAATTTTGAGAATTGCTTTCCAGCAAACCAAAAAGGAAAAACTGCGGGAACTTTTGCCAATTTCCAAGTTAATACAGATTTGTCCTAAACTGAAACCAAGTTGCTGCTGACTTTAAAATATTCTAATAAATCAGAGCCAATGGACAATAAGACATTTCACGTAATGAGCAAGAGAGTCTCCTAACAAGGTTTTAAGTACACAATGCCCAATTTGCAAGCAGGCCTTGAATAACCCAGCTAGATTACTCACAATTTAATGAAGACTAAAAAGCAAATGATATGGCTGTGATCACAGTCCGAAAGTTCATGAATATAGCTAAAGATTTTATCACATGAAATCTCCATAATACTGATACGAAACATCAATGTTCTGTCTCCTGAAGTGCAATTTGCAAACAATTCAGTACTATTTAAACCAATGCCAGCGCATATTGGACTTACAACTAAGCTGAAGGCAAGTGTTGTAGAAAGAAGTTGAGCTCCTCTATCAACAATAAACTACAAACAATGTCAAAAGATTAGCTTGTTGCTGGAGAACTATTTATTTCATTATCTTAATGGAACTTACATATTTGTAGTAGAATTCTCTTGAGAAAGGGACAATGGTAAGTTCTCTTAAAAAATAAAAAATTCCACTGGCATCTCTGCAGGTATGCATGCATAGAGACTAGATCTAATAAGTTTTGTCCAGACCAACATTCACGTATAGTGCAAGTGCACTACAAGAGCATCTAAATGCAATAATAAAGATGTTTCTCTAAGCAATCATAAGTATGCATACAAGGCATGATATGAAAAAGAATATGCTCTATATTAAACACCAATGAAGAATTTTTTCTCAGGATACTCATTAGAACTTAGAAGCACAATTGTGTTACAACACTTGATATATTTTCGTCTCTAAATTTCCTGCCCAGAGCAATGCAAATCCTCTGTACTACAATTGCTATAGCAAACTGTGCGAGGATTTGCATATTGGGCTTCAGGATATCATATTTGTAGTAACAAAATATGAATAGAGCATAAACATGGACAATGAGTGCCAACAGCAAATAGAATCACGTAAGGATTATGTTTTCTGAATATTTGAAACATTAAAAAACAGATATGTATTAAAGAAATTTAAAGCCTGTAATGATCTTAAACTTGTTTAAGTGGCCAAGGATATGATCTTGACTAACATCATCAATAAAGAGGATCATGGTTGAAGTAACGTATTACACCCCATCTGCTACGGCATGTGAAAAATTGTGTGTGTAATTTGAAGGTTTGTCTGTTGTTACTTCAGCTTAACTAAAGTACAACAATGACTTATTGCAAAAGTGCAATTCACCTTGAGACATCAAATAAGACAGATACTTTTAGATGCATAGGAAGAAGGCATGGCTTTCTCTAAGAAGGAAAAATAAATTACATATGAATTGAATACATCACTTGAACTAAAGAACTGCCACAAATAATGAAGAAAATACCGTAGGCGATATCAATCGCATGCTAACAGCAATGCCTAGAAGAACAATCAGCATAATAAGTGATACCAGACCTGGAAATAAAGTGTATAGTTAGAATCCACAATATGGAGTAAGAGCTTGATTTTCTGCTTGCCTTAGGCATAATTGTGAAACCAGTATGGGAAGATTAAAAATTATCTTTAGTTACTATTACTACAATTGAGCATTTGTTTCAAACAGGCTGTGTCAAGTTAATCTACTTTCATTATCCCAGACCTCCAACATTTATTGACAAGAGAAAGAGATAAGTAGCAATCAGCATTTAAAAAGTCCAAGTCGGTGGTGGACTCAGTCAGTCTCAAAATCAAGTTGACTCGCAGAGCTTATCAGGGAAATCAGAAAATACTTGGATGAGTTTTTAAAGTTTTGTAGTAAAAGAAAATTAAAAATTAAAGTTGGGAATACGAACCTTCTTCTCACACTGTCCATAATGCATTCTTACTGCCTCACCAAATGTCATTTACGTGACAAGGTAACATATATATATATATATATATATATATAGGGTGTAGTTTGTATAGAGCCTAGGCTCTAAACAATCAAATTAGAGACTACCTTCAAATAGTGTCGAGAAATGTAGTTTCAATACTGGAAATCTTTGTGATAGCTTTAAAATACATTTTTATCTCTATTTATAAAGTTTAAAGCTTCAAAAATAGTATAGAATGACAGATCTATGAAAACTTGAAAATCTTGAAAATTAACGGTCAAAAAATGCATTACAAAATACACTATTTTCAAAACTTGAAATCCATTTTTTTCTCATGTCCATGCATCATGATGTTGAGATGATCAATTTGATAATATTTGGACATCAAAACAATTCTAGTAAATTTTTTGAGGTAGGCTCAAATTTGATTGTTTAGAGCCTCGGCACTATATATATATATATATATATATATATAATGCTGGCGTAGGCTCACTAGCCTACAGCTACATATAGGCCCAACGACCTAGATTCAATTTGGGCCGATCTGATGGACACAACCTCATTTTGTATTTTAATTTTAATTTTTTTCTACAAATCCAAATCATGTGAAATTTTAGGCGTCTATTCTTCTCATCAACGTGCACTTAATAAAAATATTAAAAAAATACTTTGTAAAAAATAAATTGACCAAAATACCCTTGCAATATTTTGGGGGTATTTTAGTCGTTTATTTTTCACGAAATATTTTTTTGATATTTTTATTGGATTCTAATATTTGTAAAGAATACACGCCCAAAATTTCAAGAGATTTGGATTTATATAAAAAAATAAAATTCAAATACGAAATGCAATCGTGATCATTGGATCGGCCCAGATTCAATCTAGCCCGTTGGGCCTATATGTAGTTGTAGGCTAGTGGGCCTACGCCAACATTTCCTATATATATATATATATATATTAAAAAACTCATCAGATCCCAATTTTTAATTTCTAGAACAAGGTAAACTGGATGAGTCGAGTTGACTCAGGTGGATTTTTCTGAGTCAAACTCAAGTCTTTGTTCGTATCAATAAAATGAGATGGCAATCCAATGGTTAGCTGTGCAATATCCATCAACTCTCTAAGCAAGGAGCCATGGACCTACTTTTTCCTTTATATTTTCTTTGAGTAAGGAGTCAGTGACCACCCTATATGGGTCCCTATGGAAGTCATAAAGGGGACCATCCAACAAATTGATGCTAATATTTAAAATCTTAATTTTAAAAGAATGTAAACTTAATTTTTCATGTTCATATCTGTTGACAGAAGAATAGTTCATCCTTATATGGGAGCCAAGAGGTGGAACTTAGAAGATGATAAGTTGGTTGAAAAAGTAAAGCAAGACAAGAAGAACAGGGGCCATAAATAATGGATATGTGTAGAGAATTATTCGAAGACTTTGCCGAGTCAACTCGGAATCTTCACCTGTTGAGCTGAGTTATTGTGTACAAACTCGGAAATCAAAACCATAGAATTTATATTTTTTATCAAATGAATGTATAAAATATACACTATAAATATGTTTATACAAAGTTTTGATGCTTTCATGATAATTTGTGAGTTTTTCTTATTATATGCGCTATTTTTCTATTTCCCATTTTTGGGCTTTTCTGAACTGTTTTGAGCTGTAATCAATTTTTTCCATCTAGATAGTTTTGTCCATCTTTCATAGATATCTAATGCTTTGTATAATTTCTTTTGATTCTTACTGTTTTTTATTTTTAGCATTTTTTAAAAAACTATTTTGAGTTTTTCAGCCCTTTTTGGGCTCATATACTACTCGGCCGAGACCACTCAGACTTGCCTGAGTTACTCGGCTGGGGCAGGGGCCGAGTCTCGAGCCCGAGCCAAGTTTTCAACCACTGGTTTAGAGTACTTGATCACAACATTTTTTCCTCAGAAATATTGAGGCCAACCAGTGGCCATTGTTGTAAGAACAGATGCCCAATTTGTCTCAAGAGAGCAATCAGTTGCATTCCCAACTTAATTGCCACTTCTCGTAATGTACTGTCCGACTTGACAAAATTCTTGTAACCAACAGAAAAAAACTACAACCTGGCAGTTGTTAACATGAAATAAAGAGCTTGCATAGACAATAAACGTTTGTTATGGAAAAGATTTCTATAATTCCACATGTGAGCTCAAGTTTTATGTTCCACACAAAATTCTCAAGTCAAACAAAACTCCTCACACATCTTCTCTTTCTTTTCAAAAAGAGAAAACCCATCCCTAACAGAACTAGCATAAATATAATCTGGTGTGAGCCACACGCAGCAACCTGTGAAATATTTCATTGCATATAGAGAGTTTACAATTAGAAAAACAAATGAAACTAGTGCTAAAAGATTGGGACGGAAGTAATCAACTAATGATCATATGATTAAGCAGAGACAAAATCCAAGGCTCAGATACTAGCATAATTGAACTGAATACATTAAAGCATGTTATTCAATAAGTCAATTTCTCAAGAATATAACAGACAACATAGAAAAGGTGAAGTCAAAAGCAGTGAAATAAAAACCTAAAAAGAAACAGGAAAAAGTTTATAATTTTGTATCCACTGAGAATTGAAACAAATTGATTCAAATTAACGAGAATCTCACCATTACAACGATAGTATTTTCTGGTGCCATCTTGTAAAAGTGCTCCAGGTATAATCTTACCAGGACTTAGGGCTCCAGCTACACTGAAGAAGCCAAAGTAAGATAGAAGAATGACAGCCTGGTGCATCAAATAAAATAAAAAATATATAAATGAATAGACAACTAAATCAAAGGAATGCAGGTTCAATATCAGCTAGAATCATCGTTTCCATCCCAAAAGACATTATCAGAAAGACTTTTCAGTCTAAATGTGTGTATTATTGCAAAAATACGGAGAAAATACTTATTGTTACGAATCATTAGCCTGAAAGTTAAAAAATATTATTCATAAAAGGAGAGCAGACAGTGTACTAAGATCATCAATATGAAAGTTGAAAAATACAGAGAAACAATAGATGAAATACTGTTTCCTACAAACTATCAGTCTGAAAGTTGAAAATCACAGCAAAAAATGGAAAAAAATCTGTTTGCTAAGAATCATCAGCAGGAAATTTGAAAATTACAGCAAAATAATGGATGGTATACTGTTTCCTACGAATTATCAGTCTGCAAAAGCTGATACAGCAGAAAATGAGAAACTCCAGTTTGCTAATAAACATCAGTAGGAAGAAAATCACAGCTAAAGCAGCGATGAAATACTGTTTCCTACGGATCATCAGTCTGAAAAACTTGAAAATTACAGCAAAAAAAAAAAAAAGAGAAAATAATGTTTCCTGAGAGTACGATAAATATAGCAGAAAAGAATTAGAGAATCGGAGAAATTACCGCATTCAAAGAAGGTATAAATTGTCGAATAAGATCTTCCATTTTCCAAGAAGCTTTCCCCTGATCTGATGAAGCTCCTCAATGGAAAATGCAGGTTGTCTTGATATATTTAAACGAAATGTTTAATTTACTTCACCAGCTTAATGCTTGCCAATGCGACAGAGCGAGAATGCTGGCTGAGTGCTCGTTAGATAGAGTTGTTGGAGAAAGAGAGTGAGAATCATGAGATGGAGAGAGAGGGAGAGATGTTCTCCGTAATTTATAGAAGGATTTGTAATTGACCCCGAATTAGGGCAAATCACGAGTCCTGCAGATAAATTACGAAACGTAAGCCCAAGGCTAAATACTATTATTTATCTTATGAAGTTTCTATGAGGCCTAGTCTTTATGAAAACCAAATAAAGCGTCACCTCAAATCCTCGTCTGAAAAGCACTTTTGGTAACGTAAATCTTCACGATGGCGCTAGAAATGAATTTCTCATACTAACAATAAAATTTAAAACTCATAAAATGGTACAAATTTTATGGGTATGTCAATATTTATTACTAAGGTGAAATGGACAGTTTAAAAAATTTATTACAGTATATATATATTTTTTTAGAGTAGGATATCCTCATTTGTTTTACAACCATAACATTCATGTTGAGATGATTGATATGAAGGTTTTTTAATACTTCATTTGAAATTTTCTAATAGTTAGAAGGTGAGGCTATACTTATTACAACCCTATCAAACCGTTTTTTTTATATTTATAAAAGATTAAACTAGTCAACAATTTACTCTTTTATACTCTTTGCAATTATTCCTATACTTTACAACAATGTATATTTTTGTGATATTTTGAAAATAAATAAAAAAATATGGTTAAAGTGCCAAATCGTTTGGGCAATTTGGTAAATTCCCTAATATTAGTATGAATTTTGATATTTTGAGGCTTAATTGAAAATTCTGGATGACTAATAACTTATTTGTAAACTCTAAAAAGTTGACCAAATTGTATTGACCGAAAACGAACATCGTATATTTCGACAACTAATAGTATTTGATTTTTTTATTTTTTTAAATTATATCAGTGTTTGAAAAATCAGAATATGACCCCAAATTTACTGGATGCAATTCCACTTCATTCAAATAACTATTTCAAATAATGGTTCTATTTATTTTATACTTTCCCTTTTTAATTTACCTTCATAACAAAATTAATCAATTTAGTCCAAATGGCTAATCTAATGAAGTTTGCAAAAGTTTTTCTTCCAAGGAAATACCACCAACCATGCAATTTTACAATTATTATTAGCTATTAGATGCGAAATTTAACTGTTAAAATTGTACTATTGACTAGGCTCAAAGTTTGAAAAAAAAATATTTATTGAAAAAAAACATAACTCGATATCTAATTTTGCATCCCAAAATTAACAATATCATTGTATACCTTTTTTTTAAAAAAAAAATTCCCATTTAATTTATTAAGAGTTTTGTAAGATTTGAACTCTCAATGCATATGACCACAACGCTGAAAAACGCAATGCATATGACCATAACGCTTAAAAACGACCGAGTGTCAAAATTGCCTTAAATATTGGGCCATGCACAAGGCCAAAACGCCCTATCCCTTTAAATATCCTTTAAATAGGAGATAAGTTGCCTAAATACCTTTATAAATTGACTAAAATGCCTTTCTCTTTCTTTTACTGGATTTATAGAAGATAGTGACTGAGAGTCTAAAATAGGCTTTCATCCTTTATGTTGGATTTCAACCGCATTGTTTCCAAAAGATTTCAACATCGAGAAAAGAAAAGCATAATGAGACTATTTACCTTTGACACAAGGTAGTCACAATTAATCTTGACTATTGAAAGTAAAATTTGATGGGTATATTTATTCCATTGATCAAACTCAAACTTCAAAAAAAAAAATTGAACTTTATAACAAATCCAAACAATCAGATTTTACATAGGATAGTTATAAGTAGTCACGATCTCCTTAATTCAAAGAGTGATATCTTTATATTAAAGATAAATGGTCTCATTACATACAATCCCTTTGATTTTGGACTTTCTTTCCCTTCTTCAAAGGACACACTCTTGCACAATTGGCCTAATAGCCTAGCCCGGCCTAGTCAATTGGCCTTGAAAAATTCGGACCTACACCAAAAGATGTGGCTTCAGGAACCAACCAGGGCTGGGCTACCTTTGCCTGAGGGCAGGGCCAGGCTTGGCCTGAGCCATGACTGCAGGACCAGTTGGTTTTTGTTTTCATTGGATCTACTAGGCTTGGCCTAGACATGACTAGTGCCGAGCTTAGACCGGGACCTTTTCGGCGTGTCCAGGCTTGGGCTAGCTCTGTAGGGACCATGGCAAGCTATGACTAGTGCTGGCCTGCCCAGGTGGCCATTCAGTTCCTCACTCTAAAAACTTTTTGAAAAGAGTAGGGCTTGTTTTGTCTCCTACAAGTCTTGCAGAGCAATTGCTCTCTCAATACCTTCGACGTTTGAACCACCCATCCAATCCATATGAGTAATCTAGGGCACATTTGTTTCGCGTGAGAATATTTCCAATAAACATTTTCGAGTTAAAGAATTTCCTTGTGCGGTATGATTAGAAGTGAAAATATTTTCACAGCAATGCGTCCCAGGTGCATTTTTTCACTTCACACTAGATGATAACTAAATCGATCAAAATATTCTCACACGTAACGACACGAGAATGTTTTCACATAAAAATATTTTCTAGAAAATATTTTATTGCAAATCCATGGTCGAGGATCATTTACATCCAATATGTGGCTGGATGGCAATGGTGAGAATGGGCTTGATCACTTGAGTCCAATCATGTGTCCCACTCGCACTCCATCACCTTCAAACCATGGATCTCAGCTGGTGATCCTCATGACTACAGATTTTTGCCATAGTAATGACAACTATAGTCCATCTTTTCTTTTCCAAACACAGGCAAGAACCACCAGACTGCAAACAACAGGGTAGCAAACAGAGCACCGAGATTGAGCATGTGCACCAACACTCTTGCTGATGACTCAAGCACATCACAATATATTCTCTTGGTCACAAGAGTAGAGAGAGAGAGAAAGAGAGAGAGGAACATTGTCAAGTAGCATCACTAGTCCAAGCATTGCAGAGGTATTTGCAGGCACAAAACATCAACAGCCTTCAAACTTTTTGATCTTTCCCTAACCTGCTTATTCCGTGGCCTCGAAGCACTGCCCGATAAAACTCGGGCTAAAGAATGTAACGGAGAAGACCTACTCTGTCTATGGCAAAATTCTCTATTCTTTTGACCCACTTTAAGGCCTGCATATTTGTCCAAGGAATAGGGAAAATTCACTGAGTGAATCATATGTGCTTGATCTATGCAGCTTCCATTGCATGAATTAGGAAGCTTTGTAGTTTCAGGCCCCCTTTGTCTCTTCCATAAAAGCAAGGACACCTGCAACTTTGGCAGAACCTGCACATGGAACAGTAGTGACATGAACACAGTTCAGCAAATTTCTCAATTTTGCTCGTTTGGGTTTCATAGTTCATCAAACTTGTAAAAGTGTTTCTTAAAAAATTTCACTTCTGTCGTACTTTTTACTGTGTTTTCATATGAATACATCACAAAAGCTAGCTGAGTCCAAGTGAAAACTTTCATTCTAGGGAATTCCTCGGAGAGGCATCCCATGGGAGGTTTCTTATATTTAAGTTTTCTTCTTAAGTTCTTCAGAAAAATCTTAGTGAAGTGCAGAAAAATGGGGTGAAGTTACAAGGAGCAAGAAAACAAAACTAGGAAACTTATAAACGGAAAAAGGTTATAATAGTTAAGAAAAATGAATAAGCAAATATTATCCCATATTCAATGAACTCATATTTCCATGAACTTAGGAGTCGTATTTTTCTCAATATCATATTTACATTTAAGCATAAATATTTTTGTGTTTCAAAACACATGGGAAAAATTACAAAATTAGAGAGGATCTTACAACGTCAACAAAAACATCTTGTCATGAACTCATGACCATCAAAAAATTGGAGCTAATAGTGACAATGATTTCAACAGTACTCACCAATGTAGCCACATTCGATGGAGTAAAGGACATCGTAGTAGTAGCGAAAGGGGAATTTCCAGGTTGATTGTCATCTTTATCAGTTTTAGAATTTCCCTGCTCTGGCTGGGCTGGCCCAAAACTCCTTGGAAGGTCTTCAGCCTCATCATCTTCTTCGTTGTTAGCCTCTTGCTCAGCTAAATCAGAAGCACCCTCTTGCTCTCTCTTCCTACCCATACTTCTCCTCTTTTTCTCTTCCTCTTTCTCTTTCTTCTCCTCCTCCTTTTGCTTCATCTTAAGCTCCATTTCCATGTCTTCCAAAGTCTCTTTCAGGCTAAGTTCAGCTTCAATGAACTCAAGCTCTGCTTCTATGAGCTTGAGGTTCTCGTCGCTGGCTTTCTTCTTTTCTTCCAACCATTTGTCCCACTTCTCAAACAAGGGGAGGCAAAATTTCTCAATGGCATTTAATATGCGGATTATGAGTTTCTCTTTCTTCTCAGCGAGATCAGTTCTTCCATAGAATTCATCAAAGCCAAGTGGTAGGAACTCAGCCTTCTCAGGGTCTACCTCACCATTTTCAAGTTGTGGTTGCCAAAATAAGCGCACCCCATGTTCTTCATCATCAATGTAATTGATTATTCGACCGGTGGGTGTGTGAAGAATGAGAGGGTCTTCTGTATAAATTAGCTTTGATGGGTTGTCAGGGTCTGGCACAGGCTCCTTGTTGATAAGTACAAATTCTGGGTCCTCATCTGATAAGCATTAAAATGGTTTCAAAATTCCATACAGAGGCAGAGAGAGGAGAGAGAGGAAAGAAGAGGAAAGAGGGGGGAGGAGAGAGAGAGAAAGAGAGAGAGAGAGAGAGAGAGAGAGAGATGGTTAAGAAATATATGATCTGATAATTTTCATCAATTGCAGTTTATCGGTCGATCTTCTGTATCCTTTTATTCTTTCCAACATATAGTCATAGCCATCAAATTTTATCATCTATCAGTCTCAGGCTTAGAAGAATCATAGGTTGTTTAATGAAAGACAGGAAAATTGTACAAGAATCCTCAGTATTTTTAAAAAGATAATATAGATCTCAAAAGTTCTTTGTTGAGTGGGAAACTATACTGGACCTTCTGTGATAAAGCAAATACTCTTACCATTTGAACCACAACTTGGGGTATTCAGACATTTCTATGCTATATAGAGAATTATATCATCATACCTTTTGACCACCAATGTTCAAGCTCAGCAGGCATTGGAAGCCGCAGTGGTGCTTTGATGAAGGAATTTAACCACATTTGCCTTTCTTCATCCACATCTTCCACATAGCCTTTCCAATAATCAGGAACCTGCCATCAAAATTTGCAACATCCCACCTAAAGTGTTTTTCTCATAGACCGCATGTCCAAAGTGACCAATCGAATAACAGGAATATCTATAAATGATAGACACGATTAACTTATTTACCTCATAAAACTGATTAATGAACCCCGGAGCCATCCACACATCTTCTTCCTCATACAAGTAAGGATGTTGAGGGTCACCATATGGTCCCCTTGCCTCCCTCACCACTGCAAGGACAACATCAGGCCATAAATAAATTGCAAACCGTTGCATTTGAGTATCTCAAGACCTATCAGTAAATAGATTGGTTCAAAAAGAGTGTTTATGAAAATATTCAACTGAAACAGACATCGTGATTTAGTGTAGAAGGCAGCATACATAAAATGAGCATATAAGAGATGAACAACTTCAAGAAAATTCATTAGACACATGTGCTAATGTCTTGTGTGTCTCTGCTCATTTTTCAGCAATTTACAACATATTTCCTCATCCCTTAGAGTCTTCAATCAAATGCATGACACCCTCAAAGACTAAAACTGTACAAGGTGGATTTCAAGAAGGTTTAGGAGAAGTACTTCCATCAGGCTTGTTGACGAACATTCTAGCCTTTGCAGCAGCCACCTCGGCTATGCCTGCATGGAGCTGGAAATAAAAATTGATCACATGTAAGCCAATAAACAAGAAAGGAATGTAAGATTGGTAATTATGGAAAGGTAAAAGCATACTATGTTCCAATGGACTGTGGTATACTCATAATTAATTGGGGTTAACATCATCCATTCAAGTTATGGACAGTGATGGAGAAAGAGAGAGAGTGGAACTGGACAAAACCCCAATGGTGGGTCCCACTATCTCTCCATCTCGGTCCATTATTTCAATGACAGTGATGGCCCCAATGAACTATGGTTCCATAGCCCATTGGTGTCATTGAACATAGTATACTTTCCTTTGTCATAATGCCATACAGTTGCTATCTCCTCAGGGCACCCCGTAGAATCTTCCAAAAGCTCCCCAAAGTAAAATCTGCCCTGCACAAATACAAAAGCAACCTTTTATTTTACAGATTAATTGACTGAAAGGATCAAGATACAGTGCACATATTAAACAATCACATCCAATCCGAGAGGAAGACATTTTTATGCAAGTGAAGAGTTAAGTTAAAGGGCATACAAAGATAGGCTGCTCATTAACTTCATATACACCACAGCCATGCATTTTACCATGCTTCCATTGCCCAGCATACCTGTATCTACCTTTTTCCCTGCAAAGAAAGGCAAATAAATTGTAGCAATTGTCCAATTGAGCCTTATCGACAACCAAATATTCAGAATATAAAGCAAATGCATTCAACTCGATTCATTGGATACAAAATCTAGGAGTGAGTCACATGCAGACTCTATTCCAGAATTCTTGCAAGGTATTCAAAATGAAGGGTTTACACATGATTATAATGGCGTGCTAGCAAACTGTTTCATGGGAATGGACGACGACTATATATGAGTAAGAATAAACAGCAAACATGAAGGAGAAGGTAAATGCATCCATCCAGTACACAGCTATATCAAAAGTTATTGAGAAAGATTACTATCATTTTTCTTGATGGGTCTGTATTATTAGCCCTTTATTGTAATTAAAAAAGAGTATATTTCCAATTAATAGGGGACAAGAAAGCTTACGGCTTTTTTCCAAATTGCCGGATCCATTCATCATTTTCATAGAATGGAATCTCACGCCAACCATCAGCTTTTGCAACAGTGTCTTCAATATCCATTACCATCCATTTACGATCTTCTGGGGACATGAAATCAAGAGCCAGAAGTTTCCCTTCTGCACGCATCTTAGCTTCGAGTCTGGATGCATTAGGCATATTACATAAGATGGTAGTACCATCTCTACAATGTTTTAATCATTTCCAAATAATGTAAACGGATATAATCAATTAAGAGTAACATACTCGGAACCTGGAATAGGCTCTACATCAGGAATGTCTACTTCAACAACCCCATGGCCCTCCATTGTATTCTGAGACCATTCACCCTCATACCTGCAAAGCATCCAAGATTTTTTAGCAAGCCCAGATGAACAGTACAATGAAAATCACACAAGAAATGATAAGCCTAAGGGGAGATTCACAAACACTGCCTCAGCATGCATCAATATGCATAGTATGCTGAAGCCTTTGTGAGATGTAAAAATCCGCCCACAGTGAAAAATTGTGTTCCATAAAACCTCTTTTGCCTTTTATACCCTTTGTTAATGCCTATTTTACTTTGGTCCAGCCTTCAAAATACAGGACAGGGAAGGGCATTTGCATATAATATAAGTAAAAAAAACAGTAAAGATTACCTTGAACATTCACTAGCACCTTGACAATTTTTCTCCACCCTCTCAAAACACGAATATAAAAAGGTATATTTGGAAATGCATCAAGGTTTACATATATGTACTTTTTTTTAACAGATTTACCCTTTACTGTTTATAAATTTTTAAGTTGCCTCAGCTTGGTCCATTTTACAAACAATGGATTAGGAAGGCTAAAACAGCCATTCAGTGTTAGAGGGACCGGTCCTGCTCTCTCCTACTTTAGTTTTGCAAGAATAGGAGCAAGCGCAAATTAGGCAAAATTCGGAAAAACATGACTGCTGTGAGTTCTACAAATTTAAACTGCTGCTAGGCATATTGATTATTGGTGTAGGCACCATTAATTATATTTTTCCTAAGCATAATAAATTAAATTTTAAAAGTACAAGTCTATGATTGCTCAAGGAACTCGATCACATTACCTTTGCATGTAGCAAAAATTCACTTCATGCAACAATTTATGCATGTCTTATGCAAGGTCTACCTCCATAACTAAGTCTTCCCATATATTATATAAACGAGTGAACTAACAGAAAGCATATTAGAAGATTGAATAATTCTTTTATTTTATTTATTGACAAGTAATACTTCGGTACATAACATGCTTGCAGTCCTATATTGATTTGATCTTACATACTCTACTTATGAACTAGAGAAAACGCAAGTTCGCAATGAGTTTTCCAAGGGAGAACTTGTTTTTAACACAGGGAAACTAGTTAAAAAATGACACTTTGAAGCATGAGCAGTGAAAATGCATAAAATTAAAGAGCACAATATCAACTAACTTGACAAGCCCTTGCTCAGCGACGTAAACCCCTTTTCCATGAGCATAGTCGTCCCAAACAGTCCCTTCATACCTATAACAACAGTCAGATAAAAAGAGATCAGCAACCTAGAAATAGTTTGCAGAAAGCCCATCATACATTTGGTGTTGTTCAACGCACACTTTTACGTGATATCAAAGTTATCATAAATTAAATGTATAAATAGACCACTAAGCCATGAGAGAAACCATTAGACTCATCAGAGAAACTCATCAAAAGCCAAACGAACCTTGCGTAGCATAATGCAAAATATAACTTCAAGTAAAACCTGTCACTTAGATGCACAAAAGTGGGTTAGTTTTCTCCAAATTCTTCTCAATGAGCCCATGATCCATAATTCATTCATGTGCTTCCAGCTAAGAGAACATACATGACTCTATTCCATAGGATAAGCTCCTTTTCCAGTCTTCTTCTGAAGACTACTCTTCACTCCCATGTGGGTGGAATAAAATCCAAGAGAGCTAGCTTGATCTACCAAAGCATGAAACAAGGAATTACAAATTGTCTAATTGAATCTTAGCTAGCATACCATTCCAAGACAATAGCACCTTATACCATGTATTAGTAGGAGAAGTAGGAACTGATGGGTGCTTACCTTTCACTTCCTGAAGGCCCGCTCTTCCTTTCTAGGTGCCAAAAGATCATTTCATCTTGCACCTATTACAGTGGTATTCTTTTGTCTTATTGGTTTGTCAGCAGAAAAAGGTCCCCAACTACTTTGACATGAGCAGTAGCACATTCACTTATCCAATCCATAACACTGATGAACTTGTTTCTTGTTTTGATAAATAAGACACAAAGTGATAACTAACGCAGACTGGAGCATATAGCCAAATTGTTTTACACAGTAATGAGACAGGCATAGCTACTCATTTTGCTTAGATAAGCCAAAGTTGGACTTTATTGAGCAGAATGCTTTCAAATATAAACAGAGGCCTCAGATTCACCTCCTTCCCCACTTGGATTGTTTGAATGTCATTTTCACTACTTGGTGAACTAAATTAAGCTTAATCATTCCCTCGTCTTGCTTCCTTGATCACTTGGCACACAATGAATACGAAAATCATGCTGCACTTTAGGCTGAATCAAAGAATAACTGAACCAGAGAACACGAAAATGAACAGTACATAAGTGCAAACCAGCACTAAGAGGAATAGAGAAGGAATATCGATCATTGTTCTACATAGATGCGATTGCGAACCAGTTCATTATGCATTCACTCACTCTTGGGCCCAGTTTGTACCTACCTTCTTCGCCTACTCAACCAAATACCTCATTCAATCCATTCAGTTACCCATCATGCTCCCAATTAATAAGAAAAGTAAACCCCACAATGGTGAGACAGGAAAGAAGAATAAACGTACTCGAATACTGAGAAGGGCTGTAACACTCACAATCCTTCGAACCACAGATCAACCAAGTACAAACACAAAAAAATAGTACAGAGAATCCACTAACATCGTAGTAAACAAGTACATGCACACACAAATAGTATTCGAGAAGACCTACAAAGGAGAATGGCATTCCCACTCTCGCAGTGCAATGCTGCCCTGGCATAACCACATTTAACGCACATAAATTCAAGCTCCCAAGTATGAAGGAGAATACTGAAGAAACAGTAAAACTGCTAGAGAGAGGGTGAGAGAGAGTCTAAAAGAATTAGCATTCACTAGCTCTCAGTCCAATTCCACCCAGCCACAAATGCATTTAATGCACATGTATTCAAGCACCCAACTATGAAGAAACACTAGAAAAAACAACAAAATTGGTAGAGAAACAGTAAGAAAGAGTGAGGGATAGAAATGAATTTAAAACAAAACAAAAAATAACAAAAAGATTTTTAAAAAAAAAAAGCTAATGACAAAGCTCAGTCCTATTCTATCCAGACAAGCATTGTGAAGGATATAGATAAAAAACAGTAAAAACTGGTAGAGAGAGAGCGAAAGAGAAACACGTAAAACTCATAGAGAGAGAGACCGAGAGAAAGAGTGTGAGTGAGTGAAAGAAAGAAATGGAATTGACTCTTAAAAATAAAAAAGAGATGTGCACAATATATCAGTCTAAAGCTACCGAACCTCAAACACGTTCAATGTACATCATATTCAAGCAAGCAAGGTGAAAACACTTCAAAAACAGTAAAAACTGTTCAACACAACTAAGAGCTCAAACACATTAAAACAAAACAAATTCATGAACATTCACAATCACATGGAATACACACCAAACACTCAACTAACATCAATTTCAATCTCCCAAATCATAACCAAAACCACCACACAAAATAAATAAATAAATAAATGAAAAACTGGATTCGCTCAAATATTTAACAATCATCAAATGCAAGCTCCAAAATCATAACCAAAGCCCCCCCTATAAATTTTGAAAAACTGGGTTCCATCAAACATTCAATAAACATCAAACTCAAGCTTCCAAAACACAACCAAAACTCCCAGTAAGGATCAATTTCAATTGCCCAAATCATAACAAAAACAACCAAATTTTTTTTTGGAAAACTGATTTCAAAATTCAATCTCCCAAATCATGATCAAGTTAACCCAAACAAAAATAGAAAAACTGGGGTCCTTCAAACGTTTAATAAACATCATATTCAAACTCCCATATCATAACTAAACCACCCAATATGCATCAAATTCAATCTCCAAAAACATAATTAAAACACCGAACAAGCACAAAAATAAAGCTCCTGAATATCACGTCATATTCAAGCTCAAACATTTAATAAACACCATATTCAAGCTCCCATATCATAACTAAACCACCCAATAAGCATCAAAATTCAATCTCCAAAAACATAACTAAAACACCCAATAAGCATCAAATTCAAGGTCCCAAAATCACATCCAGAACCACCAAAAAAAAAAAGGAAAAAAAGAAACTAGATTCAACAACTTACGAGCTCCCATCGGCAAAAATGAAGCTAACCCAAGTCAAAAACTCCTCAATTCGGTCCAACTCCTCGACTACATCTTTGGCATTCCTGATATCATAGTGATCTTCTGGAATCGCTGGATATGGCTTAAAGAATGGAACATAGAAAGGAGCAATTGGGGGGTCTCCTCCTTCTTTTTTCTCATTACGCATGGCTTCCCAATCTTCATTATCTGCAAAAACAGGGTCCCATCCAGGCTTAGTCATCTCCAGAGGAGCATTGGCCCAGTACTCACCCAAATCCTCTTCTCTCCATTGCTCTATATCAGGAGGGAAATCATATTTGTCTTCATGAGAGACGTAGTTCCTCTCTTCTTCTTCTTCTATCTTTCGGAGTGATTTGAGGTTGAGCACGTCGTTGAATTGCTTCACCACCGCTTCTTGAGAGTTGTCCTCTTCTTCGTCGCTCGAAGCATAGTCGCTATACTCGTCCAAGGCGTACTCTGACTCGGCGGACTCCGACTCAGGTTCGGACTCAGAGTCGGATGAGGAATCAGACGTTTTTGGGTTCTGGTCTTCTTCCTCCTCCGCCATGGGGGTAGCAAAAACCAGAGGGAAAGAATGTTAGAGAGAGAAAGTCTGTGTGAGAGCGAACGAGAGAGTGAGGGTTTGGATAGAGGGAAAGAATGTTAGAGAGAGAAAGTCTGTGTGAGAGCGAACGAGAGAGTGAGGGTTTGGATAGAAGGAAGAGAGAGAGGGGGTGAGAAATAAGGTAGAGAGAGAGGGGGTGAGAAATAAGGTAGAGAGAGAGGGGGTGAGAGATAAGGTGGAGAGAGGGTGGGGGTTCAAGGAAAGGAATGGGAGGGTTAGCTTTAAAAAACAGATTGGGCGCTGGAGTTGAGGAAAAGGTTTCTATGCTGCCCCAACAGCATAGAATTTCTATCCTCCGCTACCATCCAGCCGTTCAATTTTATCAAGAGAGAAGTTCTATCCTCCGCCTATCATCCAGCTGTCCAATTTAATCAAGAGAGCTATTCACCGTTTGATCTTAGATCCGACATCTTAAAGTATTTTATTTTTAGTTTTTTTATCCAAATTGTATGAATATGAAATTTTGTATGTATCATCTTCTCATTGTATCGCACTTATAAAAAATATTAAAAAACTTTTTTGATAAAATATAATGACAAAAAAACCCCTTAAAACTTTCAAATATATTTTGGTCATTTTATTTTATTGAAAATATTTTTATTTTATTTTTCACTAGTGCGAGTTTAATAGAGGAATGGACATCCAAAATTTGGTGTCAAACTAATTTATAGAAAAAAATTTAAAAATAAAATAGTGTAAAGACGTACCCTTCATTCAGAATGGACGATTGGATAAGGGGGGAGGATAGATCTTCTATGCCATTGGGGAAGCATAGAAAGCTTGCTTTGGAGTTAAAGCTTGAGCATTGAACAGGAGGCCAGTAGAGGTGGCAATGGACCATGACCCGTCAGGAATACCCAACACAGGTTCGGTATGGGTCCGACATTTGGACTCGCCAGGTTGGGTCGAACCCGACTCGTACCTGTAAATTGTTAGAGATAAAATATTTCAAGCCCTATTCGGTTAGGTGTATTAAGGATAAGAACTTGTAGCCATATTTAGCTATTAAACGATAAATTAGACGGCTTAAAATCTAATAGCGGGTGATTGTGACCTTACTGCCAATAATATGAGTATATGAAGGTAAAAAGAAAGCAAAAAAGGAAAAAATAGTGAGGGTGACAATGGACCCGATTGGACCGAGACCCGATGGGTACGGATATGGGTTTGACTTTTGGACCCAACTTGTTGGGTCCGAATCCAAAACCTAGACTTGAATACTATTCGGGTCTGGGTCTAGGTCTAACCGGACCCGACCAATACCCGACCCATTGCCACCCTTTGAGGCAACGTAAAGAGTGAGAGAGTAAGATTGGCAACAACTGCGGTTTGGGCTAGGAGGGCCCTGGCTGCCCTGAGCAAAGCCCAGCCCGATCTGGGCTTAAGGGTTGGCCTAATTAGGGGTGGCAACGGCTCAGGTTAGGTCTAAGGCCGATCCGAAAATATAGTGTGGGACCCGAATCCGGACCCAATCCGTGGAGTTCCAATTGTTAGATCCATAGCAAAACCTAGATCCGGATTGGGTCTATCCCTCGGGTTCGAGTCCATTGCCACCCCTACTCTAATATATTTAAAGAAAAGGTTAGAATAAAGCTTAGGTTTTATGACATAAATAAATCCCCACCTTAGTACGCATAGAAAATTGCAGATCTAACGTTGGAAAATATTCAAATTGATAATCTTGATTTTGATCATCATAGTTGTTAAAAAAATAATAATTAAGATTTCAAGATCCAAAAACTAGTGTGTATTTTAACGCAGAGTCTAGACCGTTCATTTTCACATATCCACAATATTTGTATATGGCAAACAAGATCTCGAGGTGAAGTTTAGGTCTTATGGAAATTGCATCCTATACTCAAAGGAAATATAAAGATTGGGGAAATGGAAAAATTGGGGAGGAAGTAATTAAAATTGATGGCACGAAAATAGTAATGGAAAAAGTTTATATAATGTTGCAACCTTAAAATGTAGAAGTACAGATGCACCTCAAAAATATATCGGTAAAGGTTGTTTCGATGTTGAAAAAACCTCTAATTGATCATCTCGACATGTATGAATATGGAAAACAAAAAGATTTTAAATCCCATAAATAGTGCATCTTTCAACACCTTAACTACACCGTCGATTTTCAAGATTATCATATGTTTATACGTCTACTTGATTTTAACAATTTTTTGAGTTTAAAATTTCATTATTAGATATGAAAATGGATTTTGAGATAATCCTATGAATTTTTTACACCAAAATGACATGTGATGATAAAATTTGGGGGCATGCCCTTAATTGGATTGTTTAAGGTTGCAACTTATAAAACCCACACCACATACTAAAAAGAGCGCATTTTTTATATATTGGGTCTATAATCCAGGAAAATAGAGAAATTGGGGAAGATGTTGCACATAGGATTAAAGTTGGGTGGGTGAAGTGGAGATGCAATTAGAATTTATATGATCGTCTTGTGCCATTGAAGTTCAAGGCAAGTTCTATAAGACAGCTGTGAGACCAGCTTTATTTTATGGGGTGAAATGTTGGGCGGCCAAAAACCAATATATCCATAAAATGAATTTAGTGGAGATGAGGATGTTTAGATGGATAAGTAGCAAGACAAAAATGGATAGAATTCGAAATGAATACATATAAAAATTTTTAGGTGTGGCACCAATAGGCGATAAAAATGAGAGAAGATAGACTTGGATAGACAGATCATGTGTAGCACAGACTCGGTACAACATCTGTTAGGAGGTGCGAATTTGTTCAAGTACAAGGCTAAAAAAACATAAGAAGTAGACCCAAAATGATATTGTTGGAAGTAATGAGAAAATATATGAGTACTTATGGTCTCATTGAGAATATGATCCTTAATAGAGTAGAATGATAAACTATGATTAATGTAATCGATCCCAATTAGTTGGAAAAAATATGAATGATGATGATGATGATTACTTAACAAAAGACGTAAAAAAAAAAAAGAAGAGTTAGGGTAACTTGGTCCATATGGCCCACATTTAGCTCTTAGGTCATGTTGTCCTGGTTTTGATTTGGCTCCCCTTTTATTATAATCTAGACCCAAGTTTTGGCTTCAATACTCGGGCCGCGTCTCTTGGCCCATTTTCAGCCCTATTAAGTAAAACGGGTCAGAGAAGGGGAGAGCCACGCTAGAACATAGGTTTTAAAATCAAGAGAGAGAATTGGACTTGACGAGCTAGTGGGCGATAAGGTAGAGGGAGAACAATGTTTAGAGAGGGCTAGAGAGGTTTGGATTGCATATATAAGAAAAGATATTGGGAGTTAATAACGTTTGGAAATGCTGACAGTCTTATATTATTATGCTATGGGCGGCAATGGATTCGAACAGGACCTAAGACCCGACAACCAAACCCGACCTAGGTTTGGGACTTTGTGTAAGGTTTCAAAAATTGGACCCCACGGGTTGTTTTATTTTTGGGTCGTGTCCAATCGGATTCAGGTCCAGGTCCAATCGGATCCTGCTCCAGGTCTGATCGTATTTGGGTCCTTGACCCGACCTGACCAGTTGCCACCTCTTGTGGTCGACCTGTCCTCGGTTTACTTTTGTGCTTTACGACGTTAAAATACAAAAATTTCATATTTTTTAGGGAAAATTAAGTAAATATCTGTAATAGTTTGTGTTATTATTAAAATACCAAATAGTTTCTTTTATTACTGCCATATCCGTTTTTTTCACTTCATAACGTTTTCTTCTTTTTTTTAAATAGTTTTACCCTTTTTCAGTTTTGAACAACTGAAATGGCTGGAATTTCGGTTTTTAAAAAAACCAAAAATTAAATTTTTTTGGTTTTTTAAAAACCAAAAATTTTCCCCTGAAAAAAACAATTTATCCCCATCATATGAGAATAAAGGTGCATTTTTATGATATTTTAGGGTTCTAAAAAATTTGTGTCCCCCCAATACTCCTACGAACTTTTCTGTCTCCCAATACAATATTCCACGAACTTGAAGATATTTGCTCTCAACCTCGTCGTGATTGGTACCTTTCTTTCTCTTGCCTTATACTGTTGATTAATTTTTTTAAAATTAATATAATATTTTATTTTTGTATCAATATTTGTTGTGTATTGTTGAAGTTTACTTTTTTTGGTTAAATATTGGTGAAGTTGTTTTTTTGTATTAATATTTGTTGTTTCTTTTGTGTTTGTATTAATATTTGTTGTTTTGGGTAGTTTATTGAACAACTGATTTATTTAGTAGTACATTATCTTGATATATATAGTAGTACACTATATTGTATTTGTTGTTTTGGGCAAATATTGTTCAACTTATTTGTTTGCATTAATATTTGTTATTTATTGTTTATCTATTGTTTATTTTGTATTTGTATTATTATC